CCTTGATGATGCTTCTCATAGCAACCCAATGGTGTCCTTGATGATGCTTCTCATAGCAACCCAGTGGTACCCTTGATGATGCTTCTCATAGCAACTCTATAGGACAGAACATATGTGCTCCACAGGGTGTCCGAGGCTGAGGAGCTTCAGGAAAGCAGCCTGCCACATCTTTCCCCCACCAAGCAGTTGGTGGGCACAAACTGCTGGGCCCTTGGTTGGCAGCCAAGGACTTTGGCCATGGCACTACAGGGGTCCTTATTGGTAGCCTAGACTGCTATCTATTACTTGTTCACGTGTATCCACACAAATCCCATGATTGTCTCAAACCTACCTTTTTGTAACGTCAGACTTGGTTGACTCAGGGCGTTCATGTTGGTTTGTCTGAATTAGGAGTCAGCATTTTCACCACCACAGAAGGAAACACTGTACCTATCAGCAGTTCACTCCCTGTGGCTCCTTCCCCCCAAGCCTCTGGAATCCACTCATCTACGCCCGTTCTGGGTGTTTCTTATAAAGGGAAACATGTCACATTTTCTGTCGGACTTCTTTCACTCGGCATGAGGTGTCTACACTTGTGGTACAATGGATTGCTTCTATATGGCGTTTCTAGCCACAGTCTCATGGTGGCCATCAAATGATTAGCTGGGGCTATGCAGATAAGGTGCTTGTGGTCCATCAAGGGAATTGGACAGCTTGTTCATATGAATCAGGTGTAGGACACCCTGGTAGACGTGGGGCCATGCAAATAAGGTGTTCTTAACTCTAATGGCATTGGTCAGTTTTGCCATCCTGCTAGGCTTAAAAGGAGTCATCCCAGAGGTGGACAGGAAGGATTTCGCTACCGCTAAGAGTGGGGTTTGTCCTTTGGGCCCAGGGTCCCTGTGCTGAGAACCTCTGAGACCCCAGAGCAAGCTATACCTCCAGGAGATGTGAGAGATGGAAAGAAACAGAGGCTGCCTGAAGGCACTTAGTCCCTCCTCTCTCCCCCCCCCTCTCTCAGTCCTTGAGCATGGTTGTCTCACTCCAGGGAAACTGAGAACTGGGAAGAGAGTGTATGTGGACAAATTCTCTACGCTCATAGTGAAGGAGTCTGGGAAGCCGAGACTCTTGTGCAGGGAGGCCTGCACGCTTGTGGGTTGAAGATGAATCCCAGCCACATTCTCCCAACTAAAGTTATTCCCCACAACGCGCCCCTGTAATAATGCCAATTTTAAGATGGTGTCTGCAATTTTAAGATGCTTGCTACTATATGCTTGCAGGTTATCTGCCAGAAGATTCAGCCATCAAGAGTGATGACCCCACCCCACCCTAAGTACGGCCCACTCCCTTCTGATAAGGTTCATAGATTGCTTGTCTGCAGAAGTGCTCAGGGACACTTAGGGTCAAGCTGGCTCAGAGAGGACTAAGGTGAGGGGGCCATCTTAACTCGAGGACCTGCCCATCTTATTACATATGTGCCTTCTGATCAGGTGTATGTCCCTGGCACATCCCCTTCCGGTTATGTGTATGCTTCTAACATATCCCCTTCCTGTTACATATGTGTATGATGTGGCTTGCATGCCCCAAGAGTATATGAGCTGGAGAGAATACATTCACACACCCTCTGGTTCTGGTGTCCATGGAAGAGGTGAGCCCTTGCCTGCCTTGTCTGATGATGCTTTAATTTACCCTTTAATTATACAACCGCCCCTTAGGAGCCATTCCCTTGTGGAGGTTGCCCCCCCACTCACACACACAGGAGTTAGGAAGCCCATTAGGCCATCTCCTGCTGATCTCTGGTTTCTGCAGCCATCTTTTCTGTGCTTTGTTCTTATTGGTATCCGTGATACTTTTCCACATTCTTTGACAACACCTCAATTCAAATGCACGATTCTTCTCCGGTCTTCCTTACACACTGTCCAACTTTCCCATACATCTGAGGCAAATGCAAATGCCATGGCGTGGGTCAGGTGCACCTTCGTCCTCAAGAGTGACCTCTACAGAAGATCTGCCCAGTGTGACCTTTGACTAGCCTAGTAAACCCATAATCACTAGTGTAGTCTGTGAGTTCTCTATGGACAGAGCAGCGACCCCTCAAATGTAACACAGAGCCAGAGAGTGCTATGGGAGGGACGTCGGGCGTCAGGATTAGTAAAAAATCGGAGGGTGGAGATGTCTGATCCAATAGGAATAATCAGCTCTGAGCTGGTGCTCCTCTCTCACCGTTGTGATGTTAGAGGAAATCAGATGCCTCCATCAGACCTTTTTTTTTTTTTTTTAATATACAGCTGGTGTCAGAAGTGGGATTTGTTGCACGCTCTCTAGGCACCTGGGAATAACAGAACTTATTATGATTAGGAATGAAGGTATATGGGAGGTGGAACTTGATTCTCAGGTAGTTACCTGGGTTATGTGCCATGGCTGAAAGGAAAGTGACAGGAGGGGAAACCAGCTCTGTCCTGTGGGAAGCCTAAGCCTATTGCTCCTTAGAATGGAGCACGGTGAGACTCAGTCTTAGCTGGACATCATGCTTGGTAGAGGGTCAGCAGAAAGGAAGACCCTCCATGAAGTGGGTTGACACAGCGGCTGCTATGAGGGGCTCAAACATACGAATGATAGGGCTGTTGTGCAAAGTAACAACAGCTGCGCTGATAAACTCCGCCACTGGGAGTGGGCCTGTGAGTTCTGTGTATCACCGCAAATAGAGAATGCGGAGGAAGGCACCCTTGGGGGCAGAACTGGTGGCAAGGCTGGAGAGGAGGGATGTCTGACCTCTGCCTCTTTAGAATCAGCCTTAGCTGGTCGATGCTGCCCTTAATGATCCTCCTCCCTCCTTGTGAAGTTAGAGGAGGCTCAGATGCCTCTGCCACGCCTCTTCCACAAAGGCTGGTCCAAGTCGGGTCGTAATGAGGACGTGTGGCTGAACGGCACGCTCTCGAATCTCCGTACCACATTGGGTTCTTCCATCGTTGGCGTGTGACTTTGGAGGGTCCACTTGGCAGAGTAGATCAACCCCATGGAGTTGTTGCGGGGGGAGGGGGACTGGAAGCAGATGGCCAGGCGTGTTTCTTCCACCATGGGTTTGAACCACTGACCTTGGGGTTACCAACCATTTGTGCCAACCCAGGACCCAACCCACTCATCTGTTGGTGGACACTTGACTTGTCTGTGCCCCCCCCCCCTTTTTGGCTACTGTGACCTCCCAGTATTCTTTGGCACGCGTTGTGCTCATCGCTCCCTTCCTGGTAATGGATGCCCCCCTACTGCTGCCCCTCTCACTCTGGGAAGGGGACACCAACCCCACCCGTGAAACCAGGGAGCCTGGAAACCCTGGGCCTGGCTACATGACAAGCCCAGAGCTCTGGAAAATGGGTGCCCGGTGCCAAAATACCACCCTGGGTCAAGGCAGTTGATAACTAAGAATAGAGTGTGTGTGGGGGAATGTGGTATGGGGAGGTGACCTTCAAGAGCACCATTTGGTGAGGGGGCTGGGCGGGAGTCCAGGAGCGGGGCCAGAGGGGGGAGGGGAGCAGCCTATGGAAGCAGCAGGTACAGAGGTGGGGGGGGAACGGGATGAGCTTGGGCTTTTCGCCCAGATCAGCTGAGCCGGTTGTTTCTGGGGCGCCTTGACTGTGAAGGGGGCCCAAGGGAACTTCCTGGAATGGCCAACACGTGGACCTTGTTTGGAGGCGTCCCATGGGTGTATGGGCATGTTAGTTGGTTGGAGGAGCCCAGCGGTTAAGTGCTCGGCTGCCAACTGCACGATTGGTGGTTAGAAACCCCAGGGGATAGTTCTATGTCATGGGGGGCGGGGGTTCCCTTCGAGTCAGAACCAGTTCAGGGGCACAAGGAGCCCCTAACTGCCAAGTGGGGGATCCATGCCCCCCTCGTGGCTCTGAGTTGGGGACGGGGGTGGGAGGAGGGAGAAGAGTGGGGAGAGATTGCTGACGCACGGGAAACCTGGTGGGGTAGTTCTACTCCATCTTGACAGATGGACGGAGGGACGGATGGCATGCAGGAACAACATACCATGGGTCTTCCCCAAAAGTTCGCCAACAAATGGGATTGAGACGTCATGGGGTTTGCCCATGAACTTTGGAGAGCCCTCTGGCGCATTTGCTCAAGTTCATCAGAAGGGCACCCCTAAGTCAAGTCTCTATTTAGTGTATGGAAATACATGCTGGAGAGGGGGGAAAAAACAACGAAAATTGGCATTTGAGCCAAAGGCACCAGTAGGGGGCAGGGAGCTGTGTGCTTCACGTGTTTCCTGTTCTTTGTCACTCTTCAGTTGTGCCCGCGGCGCGTGCTCACAGAGCAGGTCACGGCCCCGTGCAGCCACTCACACACACACTGGTTCCACTCCAGCATGACGACCGCCCCCCACCCCCCAGTCCCATCCCTCTCCCACTTCCTCCCGTGCTCCCTGTCTCCATCCCTCCTCCGGACCCTCCGAACTCTGGCCTGGGGGAATGCTGCCCTTCTGCTCTGAAATGGTTAATGGTTCCAACTCAGGGGCGTGCGTTGAGACCTTTAAGGGGAGGGCCACCGTCTTGGGGGACCCAACCCGGCAGCCTGGTCTGGTCCTAGGACTTTGAGTTAATGTCCACATTTTTCTCCCGCACTCTGAAATAAGATAAAGCAAACCCCAAACCAGACCCCCTTCCGCCGAGTCCACGCCGACTCACAGCGACTGTAGGACAGTCTAACTGTCCCCGGGGGGGTTCTGAGACTGGGGACTCTTTGCAGGAGTAGAAAGCCTCATCTTTCTCCCTGGGAGCTAGCTGGTGGTTTCGGACCGCTAACCTCATGGATCCCAGCCCAATGGTAACCACTCCGCCACCAGGGCTCCCTACTCTCAGCATGACCCTTTAATTCATAGGAGCCTTCTGGGAGCAGCTGACGTGTTGTATTTCAGATTTCTACCAGGAAAGGAAAGTTTGGGGTTTTTTAATAAAGATGAGGTTGCTGCCCAGCACCTCACCCACAGCGCCACCAGGGCCCCTTGGGGATGAAACCTGTTGTTGGGTGGTGGTGGTTAGGTGCCTTGGAGTTGTTCCGGCTCAGGGTGACCTGTGCACCACCTCAGGTCCCGTGTCATCTGCACACTGTTCTCGTTTGAGCCCCTCAGCCCACTGGGCTGGCTCCCTGGTCTTCCGCTGCCTCCAGGACGGCTCAGTGCTGAGGGGCTCCCTTTGCCCACCCCACCCTGTCTGACATCTGCCCCTTGTGCCCAGGATGACCCGGCATGGCAAGAACTGCACGGCGGGTGCCGTCTACACCTACCATGAGAAGAAGAAGGACACAGGTATTGGAGGGGAGAGCCGGCCCCACCGCGCTCTGCACTGCTGGCTTTGTTCTCTCTCTCTCTCTGTCACCAGTGCACACTTTCACGCCAACCCGGGTAGTCACAGCCCACACTCAGCCCTAACGGCCGGGTGGGGGTGGGGGGTGGGGCTCACACTTCCATTACTCACTGCCCCACTCAGCCGTTCAGTGTCCCCCACCCCCCCCAGCAACGCTACTGCTTACTGCTTCTTGTGGGTGAGCTCGCTTACTCCTCACCTTGCGCCCTCAGTGTGGGGAGGGAGGTGCAGCATGGGCTGGGACAGGCCTGACACCCCCCCCACCCCCGTCTCTGGTCTCTGTCCCCAGCGGCCTCAGGCTATGGGACCCAGAACATCCGACTGAGCCGGGATGCCGTGAAGGACTTTGACTGCTGTTGCCTGTCCCTGCAGCCCTGCCACGACCCTGTTGTCACGTGAGCTGGGCTCCACGAAAGTCCATGGAGGGGTGGCTCCCCTGGGCAAGCCTCGTGGCCCGACAGACCCTTGGTGTCCGCAGCTGGGACCTGGTTGCTATCCTTGGGCTGGTCTGAGGGTCTGGAAGAGAAGAGACAGACTGGCCACTCCCCATTCTGCTTCCTGCTGTTGGTCCTAGTAGATGCTCAGTTAAAGGGTTATTTTAAAGGAGAGCCCGAGACAAGGCTGTCCCCTGGCTGGACACGGGGGTGGGGTGGGATCTTTAGGGGTGGCCTTGGGGTCCACGAGTCACAGGAAAGACTCAGCGAAACGTGTACGCACGGTGTCAAATCACTGCCACCAAACCCCGTGCGTGGATTGAGACTCATTCTCTTCCCAAGGAGTGGCCGCTGGGCTCAAACTGCCAACCTTTCCATTCACAGCCAAGTGCTTACCCCCGGGCCACTCAGGCCTATGGTAATTATCATACGGGAGGCAGTGAGAGGCAGCAAAGGGCAAAGGTGCCCGGGCACAGACCAGGAGAGACCAGGCACAAGCATCCCGTGACCTGACCAGTGTCATGCGGGCAGAGCTTCTGTCTCTTAGGAATGAGGGTTGCCAACCTGGGAAGCTCACTCGAGCCTGGTGCCTGTGGTTTCTACGGGGGTTTGGTTAGGTAGCCGTGGCAGCTGCCCACGTGAATGACCTCAGTCTCTAGCCCCTCATGTTGATACTGCATATCCCCAAGTCCCAGGTAAAGGGGGTCGAAAGGTTACCACCCAAGGGCAGGACAAGGGCCATAGCGTTTTGTAGAAAGGTGCAGGGTGTGGACAGCCCAGAACCTTTTTCTGACATGTCCCTGCAAAACACCAGAAGCTATGACAAAGCTACGATTGTTAAAACGGTGTGTCTACAGCACTGGGCTGAGCAGTCAGTGCAATGGAATCTGCAGGGTGTGTCATGGGTGCCCGGACAGGAAACTGATGTGCTGTTTGGCCCGCTGCCCAGTGGGTGCGGCATGGGGCTGCTAACCCCAAGGATGGCGGTTCAAAACCCACCAGCCACTCCGTGGGAAACCAATGAGGCTGTCTACTCCTGCACAGACTGCCCATCTCGGAAGCCCTGTCTCAGCTCAAGTCCGAACCAACTCAGTGGTCGTGGGTAGGTTGGTTGGTCGGTTGCTTTGGGTGTTGACCTGGGCCACACCATTACATCCTGCCCCATCTCTGCCTGCAGCCCGGACGGCTACCTGTACGAACGCGAAGCCATCCTGGAATACATCCTGCACCAGAAGAAGGAGCTTGCTCGGCAGATGAAGGTGACTGGCGAGGCGTGCGGGTGCCCCGGGGGCGGGTGGTGTTGATGCTGGGCTGTCCTCCGGAGCCCGCCCTCCCTGTCCTCTCTCAGCCTTTGCGCCCCTCTTCTTCCTGCTGGGTGTGCCATTCCTCTGGCTTCTCCTGTGGGGTAAACACTCTCGGCCGCCGACCTGTCCAGTTCCCGGGGGCCTGCCCTCAGCACCCAGCACCACTTCATCAGGAGGTGTCAACCTTGTGACACCTTGGCATGTGATCCCATAACCCACACCCGCAGGCCCCACAGGCAAAGAGCAAGGTTCTCTCTGGACCCTCAAAGCAGCCCCGACGGCGTAGTGTTGACATGGCTGGGCCTTTAACCTCAAAGACAGCAATTCAGAGCCACCAGCCGCTCCTTGGGAGAAAGATGGGCCTTTCTACTCCTGTTAGGAGCTAACAGTTCTCTGAAACCCACAGGAGCAGTTCTCCACCGCCCGCTGAATTGGCATCGACTCAATGTCCCTCAACAAAAACCCAACTCACTGCCGTGGAGTGGATGCCCCGCATAGTGACCTCGTAGGACCGAGTAGAGCTGCACCTGTGGGTTTCCAAGACTGTTAGCTCTTAACAGGAGTAGAAAGCCCCATCTTTCTCCCATGGGGCTGCTGGTAGTTTCGAACCGCTGATCTTTCAGATTGCAGCACAACGTGTAACCCCTATGCCACCTATGGCCCTAGGCCCATGGTCAATGCTTGTTCAATGGATGAAGGGCGCCTTGGGTGGAGCCACTGGGGGGGGTGGATTCGAACCTCCAGCCCGTGGGTTAGCAGCCCAGCGATGCCTGGGACATGACACGTGGCCAGGCTTCACCAAGCCTGCCCTTCAGGGCCCTGCGGGGCCTGTGAAACCCAGGAGCAGCAGGCTCCTGGGCCCACGCCTGACTGTCCACCGCCCCCGCGCCTGCCCACTCCCAGGCCTACGAGAAGCAGCGGGGCGCGCAGCAGGAGGAGCGGAAGGAGCTGCAGCGGGCAGCGGCACAGGACCAGGTGCGCGGCTTCCTGGAGAAGGAGGCCGCCATCGTCAGCAGGCCCCTCAACCCCTTCACACCCAAGGTGGCCTCCGGCCTCGGCCCAGGTGAGCTCAGGTGGGGCGGGCCCGACGGGACGAGCTCCTTCCCGGGGCGGCAGCCTAAAAGCCTTTCTCTGCCACCCCCCAGATGAGGCCCAGCCCGGCCCGAGCGCGGGCGCTGCGAGCAAGGACAAGGACAAGGACAAGGCGCTGCCCAGCTTCTGGATCCCGTCCCTGACCCCCGAGGCCAAGGCCACCAAGCTGGAGAGACCGGTGAGCGCGTGCCTGTGCCCCCACTCCCGCACTCGCAGGGGAAGCCACGGAGGCACCCCCTCCCCGGCCTGTGCTCACCCTGCGGCCCGCTCTCCCACCCCTAGTCGCGCAAGGTGACCTGCCCCATGTCCGGGAGGCCGCTGCGCATGTCCGACCTGACGCCCGTGCGCTTCACGCCGCTGGACAGCTCCGTGGACCGCGTGGGGCTCATCACGCGCAGCGAGCGCTACGTGTGCGCCGTGACCCGGGACAGTCTGAGCAACGCCACGCCCTGCGCCGTGCTGCGGCCCTCGTGAGTGACCGGCAGGGGTGGGCACGGCCGGGGCGGAGGGAGGGGTGGCAGCCTGGCCGCGGGCCGACCGTGGCCCCGTTTCGTATCCCAGGGGGGCAGTGGTCACCCTCGAGTGCGTGGAGAAGCTGATTCGCAAGGACATGGTGGACCCGGTGAACGGGGAGAAACTCACGGACCGCGACATCATCACGCTGCAGCGGGTGAGCGGCCCAGGCCGCCCTCTAGGCCCTCCCCTCCTCCCCGCCCCGCTTGGGGCCACGCCCACCTCCAACGGGGACACGCCCCGTTTCAGGCCACGCCCCGCCTGGGACCTCCCCCTCCTCCCGGACCACCCCCCACTCACTGGTTCCTGGCCTCCTGCGACCTCAACCCATACCATCTCTCCCCCTTCCTGGGACACAGACCCCAGCCGTCTGTCCCCCACTCCCATCTCACTGTCCCTCCGCCACGCCCCTCCCTGATGGACCACATCCCTTCCAGCCCACCCCTCCGGAACCCCATTCCTCTCCATCTCCGCCTACCTTCTCTCCCCTAGGTGGTGGGGGAAGGAAGATGGGGTCCCCTCACCCTCCTTCCTATCATCCCCTAGCCCCCCGCCTTTTGCCTGGTTGCCACCCATGCCCGGTCCCTAATGCCCTATCTCCCCTTGGCAGGGCGGCACGGGCTTCGCGGGCTCCGGAGTGAAGCTGCAGGCCGAGAAGTCGCGGCCGGTGATGCAGGCCTAGGGCCCGCGGGTCACCAATAAAGGCGCATGGCCTCGGCCCACGTGTGGCGCCTTCTTCAGCCGCAGACACCCCCGGGCCACCCCGCGGGCAGGCTAGCCACGCGCCCCCGGGCCGCGCACGACCCAGTTCCTTGTTCCAAAGAGCTGGCAAATCCGCGAACAGAGGTCTTGCGAGATCACCAGCCTGGTTTGAAGCCCTGCGTTTAAATTTGGCAACGGGCACCCGAGGGCGCCGCTCTAACAGCTTAACCGGCTGCCCCGCCCTCCCGAGTCAGCGTGCGCCGCCCCCAGTTATGGGGGGGTGGGGGAACCAGTGCCTGTCCCAGGGGGATGTCATGAGACGCCCACGGGTCGTCAGGATCATGCCTCCCACACCCGCGACTGCTAGAGCAGAGGTGCTCTAACTTCTCTGGCCCACCGCCCCCCCTTTTCAGAGATAATATTTACTTAGCACCCCATGGCAATAAAAGAAAATTTGTACTATAGCCCATAATTGAGGATCTAACGTGGGGGGGGCGGTCTGCTGTATTGTTCCAGCGAGGAGGTGGCATCGCCCACTTTGGGAAACTGAGGGTTGAACTGTTAGGTAGTTAAAGAGGAGTTTGGGGAGGAAATCAGGCGAGCTTTAGCCACCCAGGAAGACCTCCGAACTGGGCATGCTCCATTCAGGCCCCAAGCCAGGTGGGCAGTACACCTGGTCCGCCTCAACTAGGCCCAGGCTCATGACCCCACCCAGTTGAGCTTAGCACAGCCAATGGGGTCAGGCAATCCCTTAAACCACGCCTCCCCAGCCAGAGGTTTGAAATACCGAGGCTGCAGTACAGCTGTTTTCACTTTACCCCGCTCAAGCACCTGCAGGTGCTGTGCCACGCCCTCTCTGGCCTCAGTGCCTCACGTGGGGGTGTGCTGATCCACGAGGTAGCACGCACGAGTCCAGTAGTGAAGCTCGGCCCAGCTCCCGCGCTGCTGGGCACGCTTCCCTGAAAATAGCGTGTACCCTTTTGAGACTAAAACCTGAAACTTCTCCCATCCTTCATAAAAAAATCCCTGGGGGGGATGTCGAATACCTTGGATTACGAACCAGGCTTAGGCTTGAATTATTTGTCGTGGGGAGCCAAGAACCACGGTATTTCTGGAGAAACCGCACAGAACCAGAAAAAAACATTGTAACTCAGGACAGGAGCAGACAGCTTCATCGCCTGTACGACACAGCTGGTGGTGGGTTTGAACCACCAGCCTTTGGGGTAGCAGGTGAACTCCCAGAGGGTTTGTCGGGTGGGCTCTTAACGCAAAGTGACCATGCACAACGGAACAAACAGCTCCTGGTCCTGTGCCAGCTTCACAGTTGTTCTTACCGTTTGACCCATTGTGGCACCCACTGTGTCCATGGGTCTTGTTGAGGAGCTTCGTCTCGTTCGCTGCCCCTTTGCCAAGCATGATGTCTTTCTCCAGGGGACGTGTCTTTCCTGGTGGCAGGTCCAAAGTACGTGAGAGGAAGTCTCACCAGCCTTACTGGTAAGGAACTGTGTTAGATCCAGTTGACTAGAGAAACAAATCCTTATAGACTCATGTGTCAGAGAAAGCTTTATATCAAAGGGTAATTGTATATTAAGAAAACATCCCAGCCCAGTCCAGATCAAGTCCCTAAGTCCGAAATTAGCCCATATATCCAATAACCAATGTATACATTCCTCTTCAGACTCACACAACACATGCAATGATGCTGAATGCAGGAAGGTCACAGGCCAGTGGGTGGAATGTCTTGTGGACCCAGTGGCAGTGGAAGCGTCTCAGCGCTGGCGTGGGTCTCCACCTGGGTCCTCCAGCTCCAGGGCTCTGGCTGCCATCATCGTGGCTCCATGTGAACAGGAATGTTTCACAGAGAGTGTGAGAATCCCCAGAATCTTCAGGAGAAGGCACGCCCACACAGAGACCTCATTGGCTATGACCTGATTGACAAGCTAGACTCCACCCCTTCTCTCAAGTTGACAGGAGATGATGTCACTGCACAGGAACATTCTAGCCATACTTCTTCCAGGACAGATCTGGGCAGTCCAAAATGCTTTCAATATTCTTCCCCAAGACCATAAATCAAATGCATGCGTTCTTCAGACAACTCTATTAACTTCAAAGCCCCAGGGGAGAGCAGGGGTGAGCTTCAGAGAGGGGGAGGGGAGGGCCAGCAGGCAGGAGACACTGGAACTTGCTTCAGCCATGGTTTGTGGCAAAAGCAGTTCATGACACAGTCCCTCCCCCCACCCCACTGCCATCAAGTCAGTTCTGGATCAGAGACCCTTTAAAGCAGTGGTTCTCAATCTGTGGGTCGCAACGCCTTGGGAGGGGGGGGCATCGAACACCTGATTCATAACGGGGGTCACCTGATTCATAACAGTAGCAAAATTAGCAGATGGGCTGCTAATGCAAGGTCAGCTGTTCAAAACCCCCAGCCATTCTGTAGAAGAACGAGGAGGCTGTCCACTTCCGGACAGAGTCACAGCCTGAGAAGTCCCCGGGAACAGTTCTATTCAGTCTTATGGGGTCTCTGTGTCTCAGGACCGAATCCATAGAGGAGGGGGGTTGGGGTTCTGATGGGCCCCGGTTTAACACTCAGCTGCTAACCGAAAGCCCAGGGGTTCAAACCTACCAACCGCTCGCTCCACAGGAGAAAGGTGTGGCGGCGATCTTAGAAGGAGAGAGAGGAAGAAAAACCCACTCCCATCAATTCCAGCGGAGCCCTGGTGGTCTAGTGGGTTATGAATTGGGCTTCGATCTGAAAGGGCAGCAGTTTAGAACCACCAGTGCGCTCCTCAGGATAGAGATGGGCTCTCTATTTCCCATAAAGCATTACAGTCTGGGGAACCCACAGGGCACTCCTACCCTGTGCGGTGGGGGGGGTCACTATGAGTCAGCATGGACGCCGTGGCAGTGAGTCCAGTTTCCAGAGTTTTATTCCATCACAGCGCCCCTAGAGAGGACTTCTGGACTAAATCCCTTCGGCAGCAGCCGCCAAGAACCCCACCTTTCGGGTCTGGCGGTTTTGAACCACTGACCTTGCAGTTCGTACGTAGCCCAACACCTAACTCACAGCGCCTCCAGGACTCCTTCATCCCAAGGTGGCAGCCTTGGACTGTCTCAGTTCGACTCTGCCCCAGAGGGTGGTTGTCCGTAGGAATCCACTCAACAGTCATGGGTGGATCGGCCGTATATATAAAGTCGCAGGAAGAGGCAAAAATCAGGAGAAAAAAGAGAAAGCAAATACGACAAAAAAAAACCTTGTCTTTCTGAACAGAGAGCTTTGGGGCTACTGCCTTGAGTCCAGAGATGGGCTCAATAGCTGTATCAGGGGCAGAATGTTCTCAGCTGTGGTCTGAGTGATTGAGTTGAGGTCCAAAGATGCTTTGAAAAAGTATTTGAAGAAGACATTTAAATATGAGATTTAAGTGGAGAGATCTCTTCCCGAAAGGCCAAATCACAGGGCTAGAAGACCAATCCTTATTCAATGTCCAACTTTCACATGCATA